TATTCATTTATTACGTTTTTAATGCATATTTAAATGAAACTTAAAATTTTAATCCTAAAAATCAAAGAATGAACACTTTAAGAAATATAATACAGTAATATCAATTTGAAATTCTTCCAATTTGTGTTAGAGCTTAGTAAAACAGATTAAACACTTTGCATATTTATATATGTAATATTATTAAATTGCTTACTAAATTCTCCTGTTAAAAATAATTCTTGTGCTCCAGGTGCCCATTCTCGTACGGTCACACTATTATCTTCATTTACATGGATCCCAAAATTTTCATATCCTTTTGAAAATTTATCTAAACTGCCATCACCAGTTTCTATTTTTTCAATGTAATCTTTGAACAATGCATATCTGATGAATAAAATGATCAATATAAATATAAAACGAATCTCAAAAATGATTTGATGATTATGCTTTTAAAACTGATAATGATCAATTTTAGCTTGTAACATAATAAGTAATAAATGATCGTAGGAAAAAACTATAAAGCGGTTAATAATTATTTTATATAATATAGAAATATATTAATACCAAAGATGTTACCTTTTACGAAACTCTTGCTCATACGGTTTTAAGTACGGATCTCTTTCCAATAAAGCATTTAATTCTGGTACTTCGATTTCAGAAGGATCCATACCTGACCACCTTCCACCCATATTTATTTTTTACTTAGACTTTTACTTAAAAACAATAAATATTAATTAAAAAATTAGAACGCGATAGAGCACCAAACCCCGCTAAAATTTGAATGACACTCCAAGGTGACCTCCTTTTCGTATCGCAGTCAAACGTAGAAGAAAGAGCGGCTACCGAAAAAGAAGAAAATTCAACAAAACATAATGAAATAATGTTTTAAGAGTGGAAGCATTATGACTAAATATTGTCTCTCAAATATGGCGATAAGTTTTATTACATAAGTGGCGCTACTTTCAAATCTTAAATATTCTTCCATATTACATGTTATTTCCTGTTGGTTAAATTATAATTTCTTATACAAATAGAATAATTATTAATACAATAAAAATAACGTAAGAATCGATGGAATTATCATCTAGGAAGCAAATAATAAAACAAAAACATTAAGACCATTTTATTTTATTAATATTTAAATAAATTACTATATTTTAAAAAATACTTTTATTCGCATAATAATGAATATTTACCTTTCGTATTATAAATTTTACTATAGGGATCACAAAGTGAAAAGTACATTTACTTTAATACGGGAAACTATGTGCTTGTATTATAAAAACTAAACAAATAAGTTTAAAAAGTGTATGAGGCAGCATAGAATGGGGCAGATCAGTAGTAAAAAACATTCACTTATTGATAATATTATTATTAGCTTTTCTTATTCACAAATCTTAAAACACCTTTTTATATGTGTAAAGTATAAGAGAATAAATAATTGTCTTTAAGCATAATCAATTGCTAGACCTTCAGAAGGCTGGAAAGTACAGATAAGAAATATTTTCAAACTTTGGTCCATTGTTTGTTTGACTAAATAATCAGAATTTACTTAAAAAAAAATATAATTCACTAAGTTTTTATATGAAATAGATATAAATAAATCATACAGTTAATAAGAAAAAATAGTTTACAATTCTCGATGTTCGTTCTATCATACTTAATAATACTAAAAGTAATGAATGGACATTTATATTTGAGACAAGTAAGATGTGAATCTCACATGCTGTATAAAAGCGCCTAATTGTTTTAGAAAATATTAATAGATATAAAGAAAGTGAAGAATTAAAAAATTCGTAATCTGTCTCATAACTTCATAAAAGTTAAGGATTTGACTTATTCCACAATAAATGCAAGGCTTCATTATATTCGCTGAAATAAATTAGCGCCTGGCTAAATATTTGGATTTTTGTCTTATTAGTGATATAATAAACTTTTTTTTTAGAAAGTTATTTGTTAGTGAACTTTTTGTCTTGAATTTTGTTTGGTAGCATAATTTGTAGTATTATTTAATGAAGTACTATCCATGGACGCATCAGAAATATCTTCGCTACTACTGCTACGAATGTCACCCTCCATCTGGAAAATTACATATGCTTATATAAAAATGCAAATTTTACAATTTTTACAGTGCACTTAAAACCAATTTATTGTTACATGACGTACCTGACCAGCGTAGAAAGCATTGAACGCAATTTTAAGAATTAAATACGTCCATATTATATGAAGGAATAATAATAAAATTAATAGAGAATTGAAAATATAATATGCTGGGAACATTGGTACTATCTTAGGTGCTTCTATCGATGTACTGTAACATGCAATATAATTATCGAATAAAAGCCAACATTATTCATTTTTCATTACACTGTAATATTCCTTAGATTGCATACCTATGGATTATCCAAAATGGATAAAAGCCGATACGTGTAATAATCCACAGGACGGTAAAAATAGCAAATATACAATCACATAATTTTTGGTAATTAGCGTATTTAGCCATCTTCGCAGCCTAAAAGACATATATATGCACATTAATATGTAATTTTTAATATTTCAATATATACTTGTATACATTTAAAAAGTAATACTTACTTCTAGAAAAATATCTGCACAGTCATGCACTAATAATACTAGCGAACCAATTCTGGTCAAGTTTACAAACCAGGAAGAACACATTAATACAATAGTGGCTATATGGTGAATAAACATTTGCCAAAAATCTTTTCTTTTAACATCAAAGAACTGGGAGAAACTTAAAGACCAATAAAATGCCATAGATATCATATAGTACCACCATATATCACTTGAAACTGAATGAAATGGATAATTATAATAACAATGTTTTATATCCCACAACCATGGTTTGTTCCATAGAACTATAAGACCATATATGAAAGAATACGTATAATAAAAACACCTCCAGCTGTAAAACAAAAATATATTTCAATAATATTAAATATTTTAAGTAAGTTACGGTGCAGAAAGAGATATTTATTCTAAGAACTGTAATGTAACAGTATCTAGATTAAAATTTGTTAAACTTCTTAATTAAATAAACACAAAAAATTTATTTTTGCATATAAAGTTACCCATTTTAAAATACAATACTGACCTATTTTCGCAAAACTTTGTAAGCGTTGATGGTTTGTCTTGGGCACGTCTCAATCGCAGCCACCTTTCTACTTGTCGTTCAGACCAATCTAGTTGCTTGGCCAATCCCACGATCTTAAAATATATCCGATTACAAAGAAATCCGTAACACTTAATTTTTCAGGTATTATAAGCTAGATTACATGAATTTGTTTTGACAACCTGATATTAAACATATAATTTACAATACCCATTTTCATTGTATATAACATAATATTGTTTAGTATTGGTAAAACAAGTACATAATAAATGAATTTTGAAATCTTAATAAATGAACCCAAAACTAAGATTGAATCAAAGTAATATGTACATTACACTTTTACTTCTTGAAATTCGATTAGTACAATCTATATATGTATTTATATATCCATCTAATTGAGTTATACGCAAGCATTATATACTTACTTGGGAACTTTTAATTTTTCGACTAACATAAGCTTTTTCTAAAATATCATTTGGTGTTGCTTTCTTTGCTCTTGTGTTTTTTATACCAAGGGATTTCCCAAATGGTGTGATACAATACCTAATGTAATATAATCTATTATTTAATATAACTCTACCAATAATACAATTTTGAAGAGTTTAATAACGAATATACACTAGTATACTGAATCATACATATTATTACCATGTATCACAATCATGCGTTTATAATGAAATTGGTACAACGTACTTGAAATTCATTACACAAAAAAATTTAGCGAGAAGAATATTTCACGTAACACAGAACATGAGTAATATAATAAATACGGTATAACCTTATTTAAATGAAAATTTGCAGATCTTTTGTAACAAAAATCAGAGAGGAAAAATATAATAGGTAAGTAGTATAACGATTTTTACCTTTCGAAGGCGTATCTGATTATTAGAAGAATAAATGCCATAGGCAAGGGATAAATTAAATCATGAGGGTTTGCATATTTATTTTCCGAATTCGGTGTGATATCATCCCATGTTATGTTAGGCGGTAACCAAACATCGGGCGTCCAAAAAGCCGACGACACATTTCTTAATACATTCATTATTTGAATTCCTGTAATTATTTGTTCATATTTTATTGTAAGTCCGTTAATTGTTCGTTAAAAGTAATATTAAACTGAAATGGTTGAACAAATACCCACTTAAACCGTTTTTACAACACAAACTTCCAACGATCTTCCTGCTAGCACACGCCACCGGTCTATGACTGTGCCCGAGCTTTTAACGTAACGTCGTTCAATTTTTTTCCTTGTTTATTAGTAATTACATTCAATCCTACGTCGGGCCGTTGGAGGTACGGTCGGCGTTAATTATTTTCGTTTCAGTTCTCATTCAAATCTGATCATCGGTCGTGCATTCAATTGTACTGCCAATAAGTACCTGACTATACGTATTGCTACAAGACAATAATGTAAGTATACTTTAGTTATACAATCAGTAGTACGTATAAACGCATGTTAGGCGTTGCAATCATTCCGATAACAATTGTTTTGCAATGCAATATACTTAAGTATTGATTCAATTTTAGCAATACATATGCGTATACTGTACATATGTACACATATGTACATTTATATATATATATATATATATTTGAGTATTGTGTGTACACTTGCATAAGTATTATGTACACGTAAATAGATATATAGTTTTACATACAGTCATAAATATAATTGTAGACAACATGCGAACAATTTTAATTGTAAAATATATTTACGAATTATTTGTAATTTACTTATGTCAGCATTTACTCAAAAACATACACAACGTGTATAATTTTACGTTTAATTAATTTCCATTAAATTAATTGAAAACTTGTTATAAATAAAGAAAAGAATAAAACAAGAGAATTAGAATGTAATTAATAATAATTAGGCCTTACTTTAATTTATTGATGTTGTATTATATTTTCAATCGAATAAAAAAGTATTATAACGTCTAACAAGATTTACAAGGGATCGTAAGATATTAAGATGAAATTGACGTCGACGTATGTGGAACAGTGCAGTCGCGTCTTATGTTTCAAATCCATAATTAACATATTTTATCCAGGACAAGCATATGGTTTTTAATTCTGTTATATTTTTACGTTACATTTTAATTCTTTCATACGTTGTATTTAATTACACCTTTCTTTTGCCAGTATGCATAATTTTATAAACTCGATTGTAATCACTTATTGACAATTGGTGACTTCAGTTTTTCATTGACAATTCTTTTTAAATGATTTGTAATGTTATAATGTATTCGTTACATATATTCATGTATATTCATGCATATACATTTGTATAGGTGTGTGTGTGTATATAATATATAAATAATATGTAGAGAACTGTATTTACGATCTTATTAATAATTTATTATTACTTATGTTATAATAATTATACTTTACATTTAAATTACATATGTTTTCGTAAGCGTATCTTTTCAATTCATTTCCTACGTGATAGGAATTTGTCGTTATCAAATTAAAATATATTACGCTCAATACGTTCGTACTTTGTAAAAAATAATGATATTAATGAAACGATGATAACGTTCGTATATTAGGTAATAAAAAACTACTTCATTATGTGGTATCAAAGTAACTTCGATTGACCGTAGATCTGCATCACCTATTAGTGTGCGCATTTACGATTAGGAGGATATTCTTTCAATAGACGCTTAATAACACGTTGATAGATTCTAGCGTTTCTTCTTTCGTGAGATTTCAAGAATTCTTGCTTCGCTACGTCGACTTTTACCGTTTTCCGTTTGATACCTGGTGTATGAACTAAAAAGGCACCGTCTAATATGACCAGCCGGTAATTGAGAAGACACATCTCGAACATCTGAATGAAAAACAAGAATAAACATTAGTCGAATTCAAAAAGCATTTACACATATTGCATTTTAATGAAAAGTCTTTTATCTTTTTAAAATATATTCTATTATATTAATAAACAGTGCAGGTACCATTGTAACTGTAGATTTGTCTCGCGTACATCACATGAGAATTTGGAAATCAATATATCAAAGAATTCAGAAACATGTACTACTATTTTCAACGAATACAATTTTTCTTTTACTTTTACATAAGAATTCTTTGTTAAGTAGTTAATAAATATTTATATCTGCGTCTGCGTAAACTGTAACATAACGAGTGCAGCCAGCGAAATAAAATTTCTAGATCTGTCCTAAAAATAATCTTCCCTACTCCTCTTATTTTTCCAAACATATTCGTCAGCCATTATGAATATTTTCAACTTCTGTATATTTATTCACATGGTTTTGAACTAAAATAAAAAGACTCCGCAAATGGATTCTTTCCTTTAACCTGTCAACTGTGGAATTGAATTTCAGGAATTTCAGGAATTTCAGAAATTTCAGGAATTGATAATGCTTGCAATGAAATCAAATAATCAAGTGTATACTCGTTGAACGCAGTTAACTGGTTAATGCGTCGAACGAATAATGTTTCACATGCAAAAAAATATCGTTTATCCACAAAGTAGTAGTACACCTGAGTCATTTTATCCTGTCTGCCTTCCCAAGACATGTCTTCCGTATAAAAAGGATCGTCGCGTGTTCCAATGAACACTGGCTCCCACCTATGGTGAGGGTATTCCCTTTTCGTAATAATAAGTGGCCTAACTTTGCCTGGGTCTGATCTGAGCATCCATCTAGTGAGACCAGGGAATCTTTGGCAATGTGAGCAGAGGAACCTAGAAAATGGGAACAATGGGTATGAGAATTCTCTAACGTATTTAAAACCCATAGTATTATTAGGTACCAGAAAAAGTTCGTGTTAGTTGTTAAATCAAAATTTAATCACACAGAACGTTTTTGTAAAATAATTTTATTTTGTTTGATACCAACAACATAAACATAATTTGCTGCTAATACCAATTTCATTCATTAAACTAGTGGAACACTGAAATTGGACCTCAATTTATTACTAATAAAAAAACTATACGAATTCTTTCCGGTACTTAACAGTAAACTCGCGTTTCAACGAATTAGCTATCAACGTCACAAATATGTAACTGTAATTTATACTTAGTATAAAGAAAATGAAATTAATGGTATATTGTTATTTAAAGTTATAAAATATAATATATTTAAAAATTCAAGACTCCTTTTAGTTTAGTTTTTTTTAAATATTTGATTTGGAAGATTTGTTGGATTTAATAGAATATTATGATTGAGAATGATGGTAGACAAATAGTGGTAGCGAATGTGTCAACTCGTTAATACTACGAATTTAACCCATTTATGACAATTGACCATTGATATTGACAGTGACAATTTTGTGCAATAATAAAATCTTGCTTGGCAATACTGTTTTTGCACACTGCCCACTACTTATTATTCCCGTTATCACGAACACCCCGATATCAATATTTATTTCGCAATAAAAAGAAGTAGTTGTGTCACTGTTTTATCAATACGTTAAATTTCGGTTTGTATGAAAACTTGGTCGTTAATGAGTTAATATTTTAACGTGCAAAATGCTCCAGTGCGTATAATTTCAATTGAATTTTGCTTCAAATACGCATAGGATTGTATTAATCGACCCGATATCGTTCGGAAAACCTAAAATCGATGAAACTCTGCGTATTAACTTTGTACTGGATAGGCGACTCTCAGGCGTCCTTTAATTCAATGCGGCAAAATTATAAAATTTAATACTCAACATTAAATTTTTTGTAATGTGACAACGAATTAACACTCGAACTACCGAGAGTTTAATATGATCAATATGTAATCCTTATAAAAATCGTAATAATAGATTTTTTCAGTTTTTTCGTATATTCATTGAGGTATTCAAATGAAACTATTTATTGTTTTAATTACTTTGGATATTTAACCCTTTATGATAGGTTTAGTGTTAATTTGTGCAAAATTTTTGTTTGTATTGGTTGCAAAAAGTTTCGTCAATTCCATTGAAAACTAATGAATATTTATAATGAGAAATATTGTTAGATGCGAAGGGTTAAGCAATATTGCTAACAAGGAGACATAGTGCATGGATCATCGATTTTAATAAATCTTTTTTTTATGAATTTAGACCAAAAATAAGACGACCTATATTCGGCCATTTTGATGGAAATTGGATATGTATAAAGATATTTAACATTTAATTTTTTCGGTTTCGTGAGATACTTTTCCGTGCTTCTACGAACTGTGTTATTCTAAATCATAATAAATAATAATAAATAATAATAAATAATAATAAATAATAATAAATAATAATAAATAATAGTAAATAATAGTAAATAATAATAAATAATAATAGATAATAGTAAATAATAATAAATAATAGTAAATAATTGTAAATAATTGTAAATAATATGAAACAGTTGTAAATAATAATAGAAGTGGCAAACACTAAACTACAATAAAAAAGAAAAAAGAACGGAATAAATTAATTTAGAAAGTAAAACATTTTAAAAATAGTAAGAGGCATACATTCTTAAGAAAAGAAGGGAAAAAAGTATTGATCCGAGACGAATTTGAACTCTTCGGTATAGTAGTGAAGTATTTAAGTATCTCTTGAAATCGAAAAAATTAAATGTTAAATATCGTCATAAATATTAAGTTGCGACCAAAAGGGCCGAATCTGGGTCGGCTTACTTTAAGTCTAAATCCATTAAAAGAATGTCTTGTCAAAATCGATGATTTCACTGTAACGTCTCCTCGTAAGTCGATCGCCGGTATACACGTGTCGCTGCAGTTAGTGTCACGAACCTATGAAAATATACGGCTATACCGGCTTTCGTAGCCAACAGTAGCTGTTTTTTCGTGGAAGGCGGCTGCCTGTGCGATTCGATCTCAAAAACTGGCAGGACGAAGACGATTCCAGTTTTTGGCGGCCTTCCGCGCACCATTTCCATGAAGCCGGACGCCAGTTTTTCACTGGGCAAAAGTTCAATGTCCGTCACCAGCACGCGGCTGGTGTTTGCCTGCATTCTCGCGACATTTCTAACCACGTTAATAGGATAGGTCATGGCTATTTGCTTCCTCTCGGTTTCCGCGTCACCTCTTTGAAGATCGGACGCTGCACAATCACCCTGGATTCGAGTAGCTTGCCCCAAAGCGGGCGGACGACTCGTTGGGAACACCAAGTGCACAGAAACCTATAAAAGGGCACACGTTAGGATGATGCTTAGCGGATCGTCTAGCGGTTACGTCCTCATCGTTAGAATCACTGAATCTTGTCGTGGTTAATTGCTAATTGATACTGTGTCTATGTCTATGTCAATACACCTATTTCTACGCAATAAATATTATACAAACACGGTGAAATACACTATTCTCCCGATTGTTTTAATCAAATTCAAGAAGCCGTATTTGAATGCAGCGTTGCTATGTCCTTAATGAAGCTGTTTGTGCGCCTGTAACCGTAACAACAAAAGGAACAAAACAGACGCGTGGTTGAAACGTATTTGTTGGTCTCATTGCAGAAAGAAATGTGCCAGATTCTCTGATGTAAGTGTTTATGCGTTTATATGTCGAGTAACCCACGTATAACGCTGTAAGCGTGCTTCGAAAGTAACTTGTCATGCAAAACAAATATTAACGAGTTCTTTGATATTAGAATTCGATGGATAAGCAGAGATAAATTTTGGATACTAACGAATGCGGTTAACTTCTGTAACTATAATTGCAATATAATTTTCTTTCTTGCAAAATATTTTCTTCTATGTTTTTCTTCTACAGCATCTACACATATTCCTATATTCTAATTTTCTCGACATATGCCATTCTTTTATTGGTTGCTTCTTTTTAAGAGATTTTTAGTAAATTTGGCGACACAAAGAGATACATTTGTGAATTCTCTTTTGAATTTTGGGCATATTTCAGTGGGAATACCGTACTAACCGAATTTTACAAATTTTCTAACGGCATTAAAAAAAATACAATGTTATGCGTAGGTTGCTATATAACAATATGAAATTTGGCACATTTTATATATATATGTTTATATGTACAGAGTAAATCTATGTATAGAAGTGTTATAAGCTATTTATTTGAGAACCATTGGCGATAGCAATCAAATATTTAAATTTTTCTTATTCAAAAAATTTGTCCATATTTCACATAATTATTAATTAAAAAATCATTTACATCAATTCTCAAAATGATATCCTTGTACTTATAATTACATTCCACGGAATTACAACGCAAACGTAGTTTCAGTAGAAGGATTATCAAACGAAAGTTTCAAAAATAAATGAATATGACTGATGGACCTGTGCATATAACTAATTTCTATATTTATCATCAGATGTTGTCATCAAATTTCACAGAATAAAAAGTAATCATTTACACGCATCAAACTATTCAAAACTCCCCCCAAAAATGATTATTTCTTTATTAAAAAAAATTCACCGATTCAAACCTTAATTTAACTTCTTGCCATACAATATTGTGTCAGACTCATGAGGCAACTCTAAAACGGAACTTACAAAAAATAAATGTGACTCAATTACTTTGGGTTTTAATTGAATACTATGTTTCTCTTATTAATTGTAATGCTTTCGAGTAAACGTAGACATAGAACAAGCCTAGAATTCATTTTCCTTTCTACTGAAACTGAAAAATATAATAACTCTGTTGAGTGCAATTGTGAAAGAAATCATAGCACAAGGGGTCAAACAAGAAGTTAACAACAACGAGGAATCATGATCAGATTTTCCTATTACTAATTACGTTCCAAAGTAAAGTAAAGTTTATCTTCATTGTTCAATAGATCATTAATAACAAAGTTACCCTAACAAGCACGGTTATGAAAGAAATCACAGGACAAATAATTAAAAAGACTGGCCGCGCACCACGAAAGTATCTGCAACACGAGAAGACAAAAGAAAAAGCGCGTCGCCGGTGTCGGCGCCAATGGTTCCCAACTAAACATCGCGCGACACAGTCCCGTACATCGTACGTCACTATTGCTCGCGTCGGTAATCGCATCGAAAACAGCGGTGTCCTATATATATATATATATATATATATATATATATATATATATATATATATATATATATTAGTGCAACGGAATTACGACAATCGTGAGATCAGGAGGATCGTTAACGTTTAGCGTTCGAATAAGTCATGCTTCTAGCGACCCGTTCTGACAGCGAGTGCATGGGGGAAACCTTGTACATTTCGGGTTCGCATCGACAGGCCCGATCGAGGAGAGCAACGGCGGTACCGGCGTCGAGGCCAGGTGTAAAAATGGCCAGACTCAACGGGCCCTCCCATCTCCTGGCCAACTCGACGATTCCATAGACATGGTCTGCGGTCGCGTGCGTGCAGAGGGTCACCTGGGGCAACTTGTCCCTCTCCTCGGTTCCGACTAATACAAACGGTAGGACTCTGTAGGGGCTCTTCTCACCGATTTCCGGGCTCCAGGTGACTTTCGACGCCGGATACGAAATAACGTCCGGCAGACCGTGGTACCATCTGCAAGAATTGTTCCTGGGTTGTTGACCCGCCATGTACATGCCTGCTACGAACGCCGGTGCCCTGGCGGGCGGCTCGTCGCGCGGGCTGCTGCTGCTGCTCGGACTCTTCGAAATCGAAGGTTGCTCGTCGTCGTCGTCCTCCTCGTTACCGGGCTCCGGGACCGGCTTCCGGTAGCCGCGATTCACCAGGAAACGTCCCGCGATCACCAGAGGGACCGCTACGCCCAGCCACAGCAACAGCCTTCGACCGGAGCAGCGCATCGTTCTCTTGTTTACACGGGACGCGTTTCTCGATTTTTCCACGCTCGTGGTCAAGGAAACGTTCTTCCATATTCCGTGCGCGATAGATTCATTGAACCTGTGCCGCCTACACTGCTGTTCTATGCGGAAAGGGCGAGACCGCCAATTACGGATCGATGCGGCGCAAGCGTGCCGGCGATGCCGACGGGGTTTCCACCGCCCGCGGAAATGTTACGAGCAGGGCCACCCTAACCACAGAACTAAATGGGTTGTAACTTCGGGGCGCTAGCCTTTTGGGACGGTAATGCGCATTTTTTTAACCAGTTAATTGCGCTGGACGAGTATACGCGTCGTCTTAAAGATCGAAATGATAATCATTTCTTTCACGATGAATTAGTTATTTTGTCGGATACACATGTAATTCTTCTTCGTTTTGCTTTAGCTCTTCGTTGGAATATATTATATGTGGATTCGCCTTGCCCATTATTTACATATGTGTAGTGGCACCACGGCATCAGATGTCCTCATCCTTAAATTATATTGTTAAAAAAGGAATTACTAGTGGAATACATGGTCTTGAGATTAACTGAAAAATAAATCGTCAAAAACAGCTGTGAGGATGTTTCTTAACCTGTTAACTTAATTTAATGGAATTTAATTTAAAAAATCTCTCGTTCTCTGAATAACGAAATAAAATGAAGTGTGTACTTGTCAAAAGCAAGATGATTGCACCTGGGGTATCTTCCAATGAGAAACCAAAGAAAAATAAAGAAGAATTACATGTTTATCTGGATAATTAAAGAATTCATCGTTGAAAAAATTAGTATCATTTCAAGCTGTAACACTTAGACAACCACCTAAAAAAACTATAACTACAACCTCTTTCATTATCTTCAATTGAACTGATTCCATTAATTTGGTTGAAACTTTGTTTTGTAAAAACAAGAACCGTATTTGACAAATAATCTCAATTCAAGACTTACTAAACAATAAAATAAAAGATAAACAAAATAAAAGGCAATACATTATTAAGTGAAAGGTGGGAGATCTCCCCATTCGTTTGGCTCAGTGTGAAGATGACGTGTATACTCGTCAAACGCAATTAACTGGTTAAGTATTGCCACTAAAAATTGCAGCGGTGAAAGGTCTTTTTCAGCAGTTAAAAGAATAAAAAATTATTTACGCTCTTCTTTGGGGCAGTGCAAATTACATGATTAAGTATTTTATCCATAGAGAGTGATTTATTTAATAATTTAAATACGTGGGACATTGTTAACCAGTTTACCAAAGAAGAAGGTAGGAAAATAAATATTTAAACTATGTATATAACAAGTTATTTTTGTTTTTCATTTATATAGTTATTTGAATTTTGTATGAATTTTCTATTTTTATTTGTTTAATGGTAATACTGGACTTTTTCTAGTTCTGAGGCTTCCGCTTCCCCTTTCGTGTATTTTCTTATGATGAGGGGCGCATTATTGTTAGTAGTCCTCGGGCTCTAAGTATCTTAGGTCGGCCCTGGTTACAAGTTTCCGTTTCTAACGAGACCGAAGGGAAACTTAAGTTGAAATATTAACCGCGACAGCTGTCGTTGGTAATCGAGTGAATCCCCTCGTTCGCGGGCGTTTTCAACACTAAAACTAATAGATTGGTCAAAATGGCTTATTCCTGATTTCTTCCTTTTGCAATTATTAAAAAAATAACAGATGTTTCTCCGAGAAATCATTAAAAAAATAGAATGAACAATACGCAAACTGAATTGTAAATCAATTAAGGTCTCAATAGACGCACCCTTGGAGTTTCTATAGAAAAACTTGGAAAGGTCAATTCAACTGGTCGATAGTTTAATGTTAAGGACGCACGTCAAGAATGATAGCGGTGATGATTACGCGCGAAACAAACCGTTCATTGAATCGGTTGACGCTTGATTTTGGATTTTTGGAAAATTGTATTGTTGAATCGGTCGACTGATTCTGAAATTTTTATATTTGACCCTTAGAACTACTACACCCGGCAATTATTGATATCTTGAGTCTCTAATATTCGAAATGATTTTGAAAATAGTTTCACTTGAATATTGTAATAAGTTTATGAAGAAATCGAGAAAATATTACAATTTTTATAAGGATTACGTATTAATCATTTTTAACGATCAATATTAAGAACCAGTGTTAAGATGGATTTCTTTGTTGCTGGGTTTGATACCAATAATAATAAACATTCTTTTGGTCATGAAAAATTACGATAGTAAATATTGGGTCGAGGATATACTGTTTTATCCATATTGGTTAGATTAAAGCTACGCCTGTATCAATAAAGTATGTTTTCTTGATTTCCCATTTGAAGGGAAATTTGAAAAATCAATGTATACGTTTTTTGGGAAAGTATGAGAAAAGTCACAAATAAGTTTGAACTGATGGTTTTATTGTTTTTCAAAACACTCTTCTTCAACAATATATTTTCAATTGTGTTGTGCCAACATTTACCTTCCATAAAAATGTAAAACTTTACGAAAATAACATCAATTCCCGAAACTTTTGCAGTAGCCTATATATTATTGTATTACTTTTCTCTATTTGTCGTTTCATGAGATTAATTGATTTGGCCATGAATGGCTCGTATAACGTTTCCAGGAAAATAAAGTTATTCAACGAAATGTACATCGTCATGATGCTCTAAAAATCATTTTTTCAGAGGAAACAATTTACAACGATAAAACTGTAACAATTGCTAAACGTCGAAAAAGGTGGTTTTTATATTGTGTACATTGATGTTGGTAAAAATAAAGCAGAAGGTTGACTCGTTTAACGCACCGGAAACGAGAAATTATATTAATTTGATTTCAACCGGATAGGTTTTAGCATTAAGGAACCGAATGTAACGGTTTCCAGCCGTCGTTCGTGAAGTAATCGTGAACTGAATAATGAAATGCTTTCGTCGAAGAAATATAATGTCCGGTGCCATATTTGAAAACTACTAGAACTATATACATTTATGTACAGTGTGTAATAAAGAAAAATGAACAATCGAATTTCCAACGAAAAAGAATTATTGTTGTAGAAAAAGAATTAAATTGTTAGAAAAATATATACGAATCAATATATATCGACATACTTAACATATTCTAGTTTATTTATTGTTCTGATAACGATTTTGTTATTGTGGTATATTTATATTTTACAATGTTTCCTGTGTCTTATTATTTATTAAAAACACAACAGGTTACTGGCCCAGAGAATCCAAATAATGTTTCTATTGTGCATTAATTATAATCATTAAAAATAATTTAAAGTAATTCAATTTAAATAAAATAAACGTTGTGTGAAAATATGAGTATGGCGTCACTGAATTCGAATCAAATACACAAGCTTGGAAAGAAGAATTATGAATCTTGGACGATTCAAGTTAGTTCAAATTGATAAAACTTCGATTAATTGATAATCCATTCCTAGAATCAATATTGTTAAAATAGGTAAACATTTGATTCCGAATTTTTCTTTTTATTTAAAGCTTAACTGTAACTCTCTTACAATTATTTTTTTGTACAATACTGTAGAATGCAATAAGTTAAAATTCACACTGCGTGAGTCAGCGATGATACGCATTATTGTATTTATTATGTTCGTAAGGTGTACCTTATCATTTATGCAAAGCTATAAAATTATCGTTAGCAAGATGGAATGTAAAAAATATATAATTGAAAGACACTCTTAACCAAGTAGTTTCTTTGTGTAACAAATTATCAAAACCGTACGGAATTATCAAAACCGTCTGAACGGAAAGTCCAATGTGACTCAACGATAGCGCACGCGAAATCCAACGTGTTAAGAATAACACGTATTTCCTGCATTCATCGACTGAAAATAGTTACTACGTTTTTTCTACTACGTCTTCTACGTCCTTTATATTCTACGATTTTTTCTATTGTATAGAAAGATTATTTTTGGTAAAACGAATATTTTCTTAAATAAACTGTATTTTATTATTTCATTTTTATAGCTGGATGATTATTTAACAAATTATGTAAAAAGGTGTGAATATTAAACAGATAAATTTCATTTTAAATAGTTCAGAGACCATGGCACTGATTATTATTAAATAAAAAACTTTAATCGATTATAAAGCAAATACTAGATGTTTTGAAATTTGGCGCCCGTTTTGAGTATTTTTAATAATCTTAAACCGTTAATTGAATTTTCTTACACATATTTTTCTTTCAGCAAATTTAATATCTGTTTCCAAAGCATTCAGATATTCATTCTCCTTTTGTAACATTTGTATTAGATTTATCGAGTGCGAAGATGCAAACACGTGTATGAATTTAAATTATATTATTATCTTAAGTGGAAAATATGCGCATACTCGCATGCATTTGGGATATCTGCATGAGTAATCAGAACTAGTGCATAACACAGAGGATTATCCGCGACGACTCAGCGATGAGTGACCCACGGTTTTCGCTTGAATTAAGCTTTATCTAAAAACCAACAACACGTTTTATCTTAACAATATCTTATCTTAATAAGAACTCTTATCCTTTGACACTATGCGTTACTTAACTAAGGACGAACGTAATTTTAAAATGAATTGTTAGATTAGCAGTTTTTGTTCTATTTTAAGTATTTCTATTTTATCACGTAGACAATTTTTGAAAAAAATTGGACAGATTTTTTAATCACCGAGACACATGCGTATTATTGAAGATATGAACTAGTTCTATATTTAATATTTAAGTGTTCTAACTACAGGGCGTCTTAAAAGTTTATATTTACTATAAATTAATAAAATAAAAAAGTTATGTATTTACTATAAAAGTATCTATAGTATTTCGTTTTTATAACTATTTCATGAAAGGTATGAAGTCTTTAACGATTGTAACCAAATTTTTAATAATTCATTATATATCTCATGAATAATAATAAAACATCTTCTTCCCAAGTATATGGGGTGGTTATATAACTGCATTTTGAAGTCTTAGTACTCAGACTATAAATTTTTTCATTATTTAAATTGTTCTAGACTGAAGGCTACGTTAGAGCGATGCATCATAAAATGATAAAGGAATTACTTATATCACAAGCCACCTACACGCGTTGGAATATGTGGGATATTTGAATAATGCAATTGTTCAATCGAGCAATATTAGTATATACTGAATACGTATACGTATGTAACAGAATTTAGCAATAATCATTTGATAATGATGATGACGATGATGATGATGATGATAATAACAACAATAATAATAATAATAATAATAGTAATAATAATAATAATAATACGTATTATATACCACAGATCCTATAGAAATGATAAATGTAACGTCACTTTTAAACTTCACTAAGAAACCTAATTCTTTGAATTTTTTAACAATGATTCACAATCGAAATATAAAAAACACATTTCTCCCCCTTTTCCGCCTCACTTATGTAAAATAAAAAATTTCATACCATAATTTCATAAGGCAGGGAAAGATCTATCAAATAATTTGTAACATTTAACATAAACGAAATAATGTCATAAAAAAACGAATTTCCAAAGCAAAATACTTAATGAACTCATGGTACAATCCAATACCCAGTTTCGCATAGTACATAACATTTAACAGAAACAAAATAATATAAAAAAGATGTTTCCAACAATCAAATATTCTATGGTACAATCCAATAACGATATCGTAGGAAAATAACGTCCAAAACAAAATATTCGATGAACTCGTGGTACAATCGAATACCGATCCTCAGCCGAGTTCGATCGAACGGAGCGCGCATAGATCCTCCAATTCAGAACGGCTTTATTCACGTCGCGCGAGGTCAATATTACTAGACGGACACACGGTGCATGGATATAGGTCCGATCGACCGTGAAAAGAAGAAGAGGAACGTGTTTCAATTTATAATAAACGGCAGAAATGCCGTTTAAAGTCGTCTCCGTGAACCCCAAGGCTGCATTCTAATTTTAGTATTTGTGCACTGATGGAGAGGCGTTCACGCCGTCGAACCTTTCGCCGTAACATGCAGCGCGCCAAATCTATTAAAATTCAATTCCCACGGAGCCGGTAGTTTCCAAATTGATCGAACTGCGAACAAGCGGGTCTGTGGATATTCCGCCTCGCGAGTCACGGATGTACGGTTCGGTTCACCGTTTCGCGTTCCGTTTCGGCGTATAAACTTGCCCGATTGTGCGAACGTGTTGTGTCATCGTGTCGTGTACACGCGATGGGACAGATCTTATTTTTCGTATCGTGCCACGCACCGGTACCACCGCCCCTCCGTTTACGCGGGGTGTCCGTTCCA